ACAGACTCAAAACAATAATACAGCACTGCATATCTACTTAAGTCATTTCTATTTATCTTGTGTACACTCCTTGTAACAACGGCCTCCCTGGCCTAATGGTTACATCTTGGTCTTGGGATTGGGAGTAGGATATATTGATCCCCGGCAGGGGATTCAACAGGGAGGCTTAGCTTTTGACAACATGATGGCTCAGTTGGTAGAGCTGTTGCCTCTCAGCAAGAAGGTCACCGATTCAAATCCCGGCCCGGGACCTTACTGGGTGGAGTTTGCAAGTCTCTCTGTGCATACGTGGGTTTTCTCCAGATACTCCAGTTTCTTCCCACAGACCAAAAACTTGCATGATTGGTAACTCTAAATTTTCCCTAGGTGAGAGTGAGAGAGTGAATGGTTGTTTGTCTCTGTGCCCCTGTGATGGACTGGAGATCTGTCCAGAGTGTACCCCGCCTCTCGTACAGTGACTGCTGGCTATGGGCGCCAGTAACCCTCGCGACCCAAAAAGGAAAATGCAGGTAAAAGATGATGGATAGATGGATGGACTGATGGATGAATGGATGGATGGACACTCCTTGTTACATCATGCATAATGTAGCATGCTATCTCAGTCTGTAGATATTAATAAATGATTACAGTGTTTATTATTTGGATCCACTGTGTGTAATTTTTGTTAAATCCAAGTTTAAAAAACCCAACAACTTGCAACCTATTGCTGCTTTGGTTAGTAGGAATGGGTTTTAGTAGAGGTTTTGGGTTGGGGTTTTTTTTGTCATACGTGGCTCATCAAAATTCAATAATAGCTATATCTTTAAAATGCCTTTTAAATTAATCTCATGTAGTTTGATGGTTAAATGAACAGGTATCTGTTTTGTTTACAAAGATTTGAAATATGCCTTTTACCTGTGAAAATACTACTCATAAAAATGCATTTGCATATTTTAAAAGTAAATGTTTCTATTTATTTATATTTCTATTCTAACTTTTACGTGTGCTAAATGTTTAACTGCCATCACTGAAACATTTATTGTAACTCCCTCTGCCTATAATGTAAGCTCACTGGTTGGGTGGCCACCTGCTGCTGAGTTGGAAATAAGTGAACAAAGTGGGTTTTATTTTCATGTAATATAGTTACCAAGGAATGTATTTAGATTTGCATTATGCATTGCTTTTAAATAAGAATAATTGAAGTATTTTATAATAAATAAAATAAATGTATAAAAATATGACTTTTTTTAAGTTCAGAAAAACCAAACCTTTAAAAAGCGAAGATGGTCATGTGCCTGAAACAATTACTGTTGCTATTACTATTATTATCAGTTTGTTTGAAAATGTGCTCATCTACTCTTGTTGTTGCCCAACAAGAGTGGTTCCAACATCCCGGACGAGCCCCCAAATGTATATTTTGACCCCGCTTGCTGGGCCACAACTTAAAACCATAACTTAATACTAGATGGGTTGCTTTTTATTAAAACCATGTTAAAAAAACAATCTACAAACCAACACAGCCTGGGAACAACAGTGATGACAGCATGCCTTAAATCCACACCTTCATGGGTACAGCCAGCTGGCAATCAAACTGGTGCAGAACCACTGCTTGGCTAATGAAAATGCAAAGTGTTGTCAGAACTATGAACTTTAAACTTTAGACTTTTTATTTTTTGTTTTTTAGCTTACAGGCATATATCCATAATACAGTAGAATTAAGATCCATAAAATTCATATAAACCATTACAGATACACCATAAAACCTCTAATGCCTTCTCAGTTTCCTGAAAACTAATTATTTTGATGTCCCCACATTCAAGATTCTCCCTGTGGTTCTGTTTCTTCTCTTTTATTTCCGACACAAGTTTCAGATTAGATCCAAGGTTTGGGAGAACCTGTGCTGAACTTGAAAAAAATAATAATAATAATACAGGAAACTGCAATGAATGAATGCAGTGAAGGAGCAATAACATTAACCAGGGTGTAAAAGATGGATGAAGATGGATGGGGAATAGACAAAGAAAAGAGCTGAAAGATGACAGAATGAGAGCCACCCTACATTCCATCACGTCTGGAGTTTCAGTCTGACTCCTGGTGACGGCTCACTCCGCTCTGCTGTAGAACTGTATATGTATCTGGGCAATGCCAACTGAGAAAACAAACTCAATAATTTGAAGGCTGTAAGCAAAAACAGACTTTACCTCAGAAAACTAACGCAGTGTGATTATAACAGGACTCCGATGGGAACGTTTGAGTTTTCAAGTGGCTCCCTGCCACAAATGGGACAAATAGTTTATTGTGTTGGACAGAAAATTTGGGTTTAAAAGAGTGTGAAACACAAAGACAGATTTTAATAAATAACACAGCAGCTAAATCAAACAAACTGAAAACAATTGAAACAGCATGTATGAAAAAAGTTTAACAAAAACTGCAGGATGAAAGGTTCTTATCTGAAACACTTCAAAATAATTTTCTAATTAAACAAAAATTAATATATATATATATACAATTCATTTTAAAGTCAAAATTATTTAGTAGAAAGTGCTAAAATGTAGTCAAATTATTATGAAATTGTAAATTATGAAAACCTATCTTTTAGGTATTTCAATGAAAAGTGAACTTACTGGTATAGCTTGATGCTTTTTTTGACTGGAAGTGCCAGCTTTCAAAAAGCGAAAGTGTCAAAAAGGGTTTAAACAAGAAGGAACGAGAGCACATGTGCTTGCATAGGTCAGAGGTAAATAGGTCCTTCTTCCTGCTGAACTTCTTCCCACTAATTGATTGAAATGAGATAATGGCGGCTTTTCCTTCCGCTAAATTACCTCCACATCCTCCTGGCAGAGCAAACACCCTTAGGTTATCTGAAGATCACAGTGACGGGAGGATAAAAGATTAAAAAGATGACCAAATAAATGTGAGATTTAAAAGGTTAAAATTATAAAACAATACAGAAGTTGAAAATACTCGGAAATTTACTTTGCTAGAGTCACTCTAGAAAATGTAAAAGAGGGCAAACTGTGAGGTCAAATGAGAGGTCACTGAGGCAGGAAGCAAAGACATGTGTGGTCACTAATGAGGATTTCATACAGAGTTCTTCTCATAATCCTCATGATGCACAAGTGTGGTATTTCTGCTTACAAGTCAGAACAAAACGTAACAGGGGAGTGTGAACAATAGAAGAAAAAAACGAACATAAAGTTATGATAGTAGAAAAATAAATAAACATAAATTTGTTTTCAGTTCAACAAAGTTAAGTCAGTTTCTCTGAATGGTTTCTTTTTTGTTGAAAAGGAACATCAAACTGCTTGACCCACTATGTGAAGGTGATATTTATAAGACTGAGTTTGTTGTGGCTTCTCAGACTGACGAAGTCTTTTGGATGAAAGACGAAACCTTTCAGCAAAAACAAACCATCCAGAGGACCCGACTTAACTGTGTTGGATTTTTCTACCTGGATTATTGAGCATGAATCTTGATACATGTCTTCAGTATTAATTAAATCTAATCAAAGTGCATAATTTGATGCTAAGTGTCTCTAAGTAAACAACTGGTGCCAACAATATTCTCAGCAGAGAAAGAAGGCACAATGACCAATATGGAGTCAAATCCAAACCAGTGAAAAATGACAATGAGTTAGAAATAAGTATGACATTGTACTTTAAGCTTTATCTGTAAATTGATAGTTTTAGTTGTATTAACCACTGTGACAAGTGATGCATGATGGGGAAAACAATCAAGCAGAATCCATAAAAATTACACAGACCATTAATGGTCATTTACAGGCTCAATAAATAGTATAAAATATTTATATGCCACAACATGAACCATTCTTTTCAACAATTCATCATTTTCTGTTGCATCTAAACTGAAGTTGAGCTCCTGTCTCCATAGCTCTTATTTTCAGATGTGCTCTAGTTGATACACAAAACAAGACAACATGAGCAAATATGTTCAAGAGAAGGCCGGACCACTCAACTATATTACAAACAGTTCAGGACTCTGGTGTAAACTGAGCTGATAACACACTGAAACACCCTCACCCCTAACAGATCTGCAATCTTCTGTGGAAGAGTAACACTGAAGGAAAACTATTTTTGAGTAAAATATCTGCTCCCAAAACAAATGTAAACTTGTAAAACCTTTTTTTTTTTAAAGCTGATCAGCAATTTCAATGTATAATTTTGTAGCTTCTATATTTGGAAATTCTTCTACATTTTCTCATGCTTTGTTAGACATATAGTCCCCCTCCCCACACACACACACACACACACACACCCCACACACACTCCATCCCACTGAGTTAGTGTTTATTTTCAGTAAGCCTGGAAAACCAATAAGCTCCAGTTGTGACTCTGTTAACTGAAGAGAAGGAAATCCTCTGAGATATCTTGCACCAGTGATAATTGCAGATATGCTCCAGGCTGAACTGAAACAATGAGCCTTACTCAGAAACAGCAAGTCAGCCTCTCTCACACTTTACTGGCTCATTTTCTGTAAACTCCAGTGAGTCAGGACCAACAGCTGAGAGGAAAGGACCAAGAAGATCCTGTTTCCCCTGAAAGATACCAAGTTAGGCAAATATTCGATCATCAAGCAGCATTAAAACAAAAAACAGAACACCATTTAGCTGTTTAAAGCATAAAGTTTCATGCTGTTCATGTATTACGTGGGAGCTAAATTTCCTAATAAAAGCCCTTTAATGAGACGGTGGCGCAGCGGCGGAGTGCGCCGCAGAAAGAGGAACCTCCTCTGGTTTCACACCCTGCCTCCTAAAACATCAACCCCTGAAACAGAAGCCAAAACAGCGAGCTGAGTTACACTTTCAGCTTGACTCCCACCAAGACAGAGACACAAAGAAATTAAAACAAGAGAAGAAGAAGGAAAACTTTCTGGAGCGGAATATCTCACGGCTGATGGCAAAATGTCAGTGAATGCCACATGCGGACGCGCGCGCAGAACCAGCCAAAACGAGCATCATCTGTACGGCAAGAAGGGTGTAAATTAATGAATTAATAAATTACCTTTAAAGGATAGCCTCAGTCTTGGCACGTTTATCTTGGTTGTAGAGACGGTGGCGACGAGGAGCGCAAGCATGAACACATTGATGAAGAAAGGTGTAAATCCCCTCATTGTTGTAACTTCTTGTTTCTAATAATTATTCAAACTTAAATGCAAAGATCCAAGGCTTTTTTTTTTTTTTTACTTATTTGATCCCTCTCATCATGGTCCCTGTGGTTGAGTGAGTGCCAATTCTCTGAGCGCGTAAAAGGCAGATGTCCTCTCAGCCGCTCGGCTCGGGCTGGTGAGCAGATTCACTGATTCGGATCTGAATGCTTCAACAGTTCACTCCCAACTGCAGGCCAGCAGAGGTCTCTTCCAGTCACCACGCCTTTTCTTTTTCAGCAGGGAGAAAGAAAGAAGAAGGCGTTGGGTGCTGGAAACTCCTCCTTTACGCACAGCGCTGCGCTGTTCTCTCCAAAGGGAGTGCACCTGACGGAAGAGACGATTCATTAAACGGTTTCATCATCACTTGGAGGTTAAGGTAATTTAACAACTGTATGTAGAAAAAAAAAACATTTACTGAAGCTCACAGAACTTTGCTTTCATAGAAAAACAATTTAATGCCTTTAGAAGTTTTTACAAGTCTCCAAAATTGAGACTCGTGTATTCAAGATACACTCATTAAAGCAGCTGCCTGTGGAAAATCTCAAAACCTAAGTCAAACTAAACAAAATTAAAGAGCTAAAATCCTCACATTGACATCAGATTTGCAACTATATTAGTCCAACCTTAAAACCCTGTTTTGTGTGACGTCATGAGCTGCTTCATGCGTCAGATTGCAGCTCAGTATCTGTAAAACTGACTGAGTTAGAGCCATTTTTGAATTGGCTGATTTTGATTAGCTGTGGTGGCCATGTTGATTTGGATTGAACAGTTTAATTTCATTTCATTTATTATTTATTTATATAGGTGTCAAGTATTAAATAATACTGTTCACTAAAACCTTTTATAGCCGAGGCTAATTGGCAATACCAGTCCCGAGATGGGCTTTTAGCCACATTAAAACAAACAGTTCAAAATATAATTTAAACAGAATTAAAACATTAGACTAATTCATAAAACAGAATTAAACACAGATCATAAAAATTTTAAGGTGGCACTTAGTCATGACTACACAGCTGTTTCTCCTTCAGCAGCTGATGCGGTCTTGATCTAAAATGGTTCCAGTCAGTTTCAGATCTGTGGGAAATGCTACATATTAATCCCTCATACACAGATTGACCCAATGAAATGTTACTAAAAGGAACGCTGCACTGTCCTGTCTGCTCCACGAGTTACTGAGCCTGTGGATCTGAGAGGAACCAAAAGGTCACTGAGCACCTGACAAGCCTGTCCAGTTATAGATATACTCTGTCCAATATATTAAGATATTTTGCTTACAGTCAAACAGGATTGACTTGAACAGTTACATGTTATGCAAAGATCTTGCACAATGACTGAGATGAATGAAACTGAATATAGCAGTGTTTGTTTTCTAAGGACAGTTGGCTGTGGTGGCCATCTTGGACTGGGTTGGCTCCAGACATTAATCATTTGTTAATTTTTACATGAAGTGATTATTTACTGGAACCATTCACAGACATGATCAAAAACATTATGGACCACTTTCCTCTTTTGGTTGTGGTTGAAAAAGATAGCTCGTTGTGGTAAAACTACATTAGATGTTTTGTTTCTTTTTCAGATATAAAAATGCTTATATTTGAATGCGGATACAGACTGTTTATCAAAGCTACAATGGATATTGTCAATTTTAATCAAACGTCCTATTCTGAGTGTTAAATAGGCACAGAGGTTAGAGAAGGTGGGCCTGTGATCGGAAGGTTTGACTCCCTTGACTGACAACATCAAACTGTGAGTGGGACAGGTAAAACACCCATACCTGCCTCCATCTTTATCTTTCCACTCTGGACCCTTTAGCAAGGCCCTTAACTCCCACCATCTGCTCCCCCGGGCACCCTAGATGGCAGCTCTCTGCTACGCACAGAGGGTTGTGGTAGCTCAGTGGTCTGTGGTTGCATCAAGAAGAGCATCCGGTGTAAAAATAATTGCTAAGTCTTCATGCAAGTTAGTTTTTGATGTGGCGACTCCTGAAGAAAGGAGCAGCCAAAAGACAAAAAAAAATGTATTTAAAAAATTATATATACATACAAAGTATATGTATATATATATATATATATATATATATATATATATAAGGGAGAATATGACTCTTGTAATATAATAAACACTAAAGAATACCACTGATTCATGTACATGAATAAAAACAAAATAAAACATTCTTCTCAACATTTCCCTCCCTGCAAAATCTTTTGTCCAAGCGACCTTCTTTAACCTCTGCTTGAGACAACATTCTCAGTAGCTTAAATTAAGTAGCAGGGTACTTTCTCAATACCCCCCTTCTATGCATGCATCCATTCACATGCAAGCTTATAAGTGCACACAGGGGTCACGGCAGAATGAGAAAGAAGCATTCAAGGTGTCAATGGTGCTGCAACCCCGCTTTATCTGGGAACACTTGTTTATAGCATGACCGACACTCCCATACATGCTTCATACGGGCTGAGAGGCAGACGGTGGGAAACCAGAGGGGTGTGCTGGGAACGCTGGGCACTTTGACAAACAATGCACCTCATATTGCAGGAGCTTCTTGAGCTCGCTTGTGTTGTTGGAGTTCTGATCATCATTTTGAGAGCTTGTCATCTGGATGCAGAAAATTCAAGTCACACAAAAGTCAGTGGTGTGTTGAAAACCAGCATTCCAGTTTTCTGAGTTCTCTTAGGAAGGTCAATAGAGCAGAAACAAGATATCAGATGTTTATTGAGATGTCAGATGTAAGCATTTATGTATCACTGAGAAAATGTGCAAAATAACTTCCTGTAGTCAAAAGAAACCATACTCCTGACCACAGGTAACCTGCTACATGTTTATTTGACAGTTTGTTCCTTGAAGTTCAGGTTGTGTTTCAAGTAAACACCAACAGTTACTGATGAAAAAAATGTTTCTACTTTTTTTTTTTCGTTTTGTATCTTTTGTGGAAAATGTGTATATCGTACTGCATTTTTTTCATTTAACGTTCTTTGTTTTTTGTTATTGCCAGAAACTGTGAAACATTATCTGATTCTGATCTGTCCGCTCTGGTTTTGAGCCATGAGCTGACATACAACATACACAGCAAAATATGAAACACTGATCCATAAAAAATAGAGCTTTTTGAAGATGTTTAGCATGAAGGTCAGAAGAAATTTCAAATGATGGGACTCGCATTGTTTTTCAATGAAACCGTTTTGATGTGATATGAAGCAGTTCAACACTTTGTTTCAAATGAATAAAAGATGGTTGAGATATGTTTACAATCTGATTTCTTTCAGTACAAAAATCCTTCAAATTAAGTTTGATTTGTGGAGCAGAAAAAGATTTTTACACTGTAATCTGCATGTTTAAACAGTTTGACACAAAAAAAAATCACATTCATGTTTAATCTATTTTATATTTCTTTTAAAATACTCCATCTAATGCATATGTTTTTCTTTTTCTTTTTTTATGAAAACATTAAAAAAGAAATTAACATTTCTTTGAAGGAACACACGTTGCTCACCAAAGTTTAAAATACAGATGTGGTTGAATCTGTTGGTGCTTGGCGTATGTACTGTGGATGATCCTCAACTACCACCAGTATATGAAATCTTTATAAAAGTTCTGTAAAAAAATTTACAGCCATTAAATTCAGAAATCAACACAAACTGGTTTATGGTTTATTGTTTAAATGCAGGTTCAAGTTCAAGTTTATTGTCATTCGCATCACATGTGGTACATGAGGTGGAACAAACTGTGTACACAGGGTCCCAGTTATACCCAAAAAATAGCAAAGATGTAAAGTATAAAAAGAAACAGTATGTAAGGATCTAAGATATACACTAAGATATACACTAAACAAATCCCAAACGGTACGCTGAAAGATCCAAGATATATGCTAAATACAAATAATGTAAAACCTCACTGCTAACACAAGGTCAACAATGCAATGAAATGCTCAGGACAAAAAGAACTGTCTTGACTCGCAAAAATAAAAAAAATATTAATAAAAAAAAAATGCATACAACAAAAATACAAAAACAAAACACCATGAGTGAAAAAAAAATACATCTGCTGCAACATGGTTCTGTTAGCAGTGAGGATCGTTTAGCAACATGGTCCCGTTAGCAGCATGGTCCTATTAGCAGAATGGTTCTGTTAGCAGTGAGGATCTTTTAGCAACATGGTCCCATTAGCAGCATGCTCCTATTAGCAACATGGT